CCCACTCCGAAATTACCCCACTGCTCTCACCCTGATGGGCCTCTCCAGCTCCGGCTTCTTGTAACGCAGCCACATCATGCCGATGATGGCCAGGGCCACGCACAGCCAGTTGAAGAAGCTGAAGAAGTTGATGACTGAGAAAATGTCGTTGGAGAAGGCGTAGAGCAGGGTCATGATGCACTGCATCCAGAAACAAAAGCCATTAGCAAAGGGAGTAGGTGAAACCACGTATGTTACAACACTAAATACAGGTATTTTATATCTGTATATCTGTATTTTTATATTTTTATATATCTATATACCTATATGTATATGTATATCTATGTGTATGTGTATGTGTATATCTATATCTATATCTATATCTATATCTATATCTATATCTATATCTATATCTATATCTATATCTATATCTATATCTATATCTATATCTATATCTATATCTATATCTATATCTATATCTATATCTATATCTATATCTATATCTATATCTATATCTATATCTATATCTATATCTATATCTATATCTATATCTATATCTATATCTATATCTATATCTATATCTATATCTATATCATCTATATGCCAGGAAAAGAATAACATTGATTATTTTTTACTTATTTAAGCTATTTGCAACTGGTGCTTGGAGTGATCTCAAACAGAAATGGACTATGAGGATATGATGGGAAGGGCCCATCCTCTCCTGTAGCCCATGCAGGAATGGCTGTGTCTGGAGCTGGTGCCCACATAGCCCCTGCTCCAACCACTCTGATGGGATCCTACCCCAGATGCATCTCTCAGTGCAGTGCTCATCACCACACACCCAGGTGCTCACCGTAAAGACGAGGGATGGCATAGGAGTGAGAAGCCTGGGGTGAATCATGGAGAGGATTGAAGGTAAGTGCCCTTCTCGGGATCCCACGAAGAACAGCCTGAGGTGGGGAAACAGAGCAGTCATCACCTCTGCAGAGCAGTTATCACCTCTGCACTCTTCAGCCCCACGCTGGGGTTGGTCTTTGGCACAAAATGAGTGGGGACAGCCCAAGCTCAGCCTCGACAGCGGCTTTTGGCAGTCACTGGTTCAGGAGCGGGGCCCTCCACTGTCAGACCCCAGCATGGGCTTCTGCACACTGGGAAGTTCCCATCTCAGAAGGCTGGAGACATACAAGGAATGCAGTAAAAGATGTAATTATTATATCCTCTATTTATTATATCCTCCTTTCCAGAGACAGCAATTGAGTGGCTTTCCTAAGACAGCCTGGGAGATGTGGGTCAGAGCTGGAGCCTCCTCAGTCCCCATCCTGCCCCGTCTCTTCTCTTTCTGGAGATTCTCAGCCCTGAAGTTTCATAACTTTCTGCTTTTCATTAAAGCCACTTTCTCAGGCAATGCCGCTGCGTTTGTTTATGTCCTAGTAACTTCAGCAG